CCACCTGCTGCTGAGCCCTCCCCCCCAACCCCCCCCCATGGACGCCCCCTGTCTGCCACTCCTTATGTAACAGTGTGTTTCTGGTTAACCCTTAACCAGGATTGACTCACCACCAACACTAACACCCCCTCCTCACCCTCCTCACCCCCGATAATCTGTGCAGCACTCAGGCCATTATCAGAGATTTGAGCTGTTAATCTGAGTTAATCCTGGTAAAAACACAGATGTACGTTTGTATGATGATGATGTCAAACTCTGCCTTCATCATCATCATCATCATCATCGTTTTAGTCCATGTGTGGAGAAGGTCAACGACCTCATATTTAACCACAGACACCGTCCGACCATCACTGGCTCTGATCTTTATTAGCTCCAGCCGTGGCCACGCCCCCTTTTACAGCTCTGACCAGTAGAACGACAGCTGTTCCTCACCTACTGTACCAACGTCTTCACCTGCAGAACCACCTGGTGTTGGTAACCATGGAGTCACATCACCATGACAACAGAAGACAGACTGAGTCTCTGTCCGATCATTTCTTCTTCTTCTTCTTCTTCTTCTTAGCTGTGTGACAGGGGGCGCTGCAGCACAGTGTCCACTCAGAACAAATTGTGTTACAGTAAGTAACAAAATGCGCCCCCCCCCCCAACCTCAGCAGTTGGACATCATCTGTTCAGATTTACTGCAGTGTCACAGACTGACCACAGGAGGCAGCAGAGGACCAGCAGCAGCGGATGTTTTCCGTAGAATCTTCTTTTTCAGTCAGAAAGGTTCACGTGAACATTTCTTCTAAAGTTACAGTGGACTTGACTCGACTCAGTCGTCCCTGGGTCTACGCCCCCTGGAGGACAGAAGGACAAACGACAATAAGGACCTGTACCTTCTGATCCACGATGGAGCAGACCAGTTCTCTGACAGCAGACAGGGTCTGGTCCCCGGGGTCAAGGTTCACCGGTTCCCTGGTGAGTCCGATCTGCAGCAGGAAGGAGACGCCGTGGACGGAACCACAGGAACCGATGGGACTGGGCAGCGGGCTGCCATTGGACGCACGGCTGCCGAGGGCGACGGGGGGGCCGGGCCTGGGCGGGGCCGATTGACGAGGAAGCGTGGGGAAAGACTGGGAGGGGCCCAGTGGTGGAGGTGGGGGTGGGGGTGGGAGGCGGTCGTGGGGGGGCATCAGTAAAGATGGGAAACAAACATTTAAAAAAGAAAGGGTTAAATTTTCAGAAAAGTGTTTCCTGTCGTCGTCTTCGTCTCAAGTCACGTTTTTCATCACGTGGCTCCAGGAAAGAACGCTGAGGTGAAGCTCTTCAGCTGTGCTCCTGTCGAGGGCAGTCTTTATCTGGTAAAAACAAAAACAGGTCATCAAAGACCGACCCAGACCGACCTGACAGACCGACCTGACAGTCGTCAGACCACAGCACTGAGGAAAAACAGTTTAAAATGGACTGACGTCTGTTCTATTGTTTCATTTTCTGTAAAAATAAAAAGATAAAAAGTTCATATTTAAACAGATGTGTCGTCTTTTTTATCTAAAAACAATGAAAAAAAATCTATAATCCTAAAATAAAGAATTCATTTTTAAAATAATTCAATCAACTTGAATCATCGGAGTCAGAATTTGAGGAAAAATACATTTCTTAAAACTTATTTTAAACGCGTCCGATTCAAACACACACACACACACACACACACACACACACTCAACTCACTCGGGGCGGATGTTCCGTTTCCATCTCGGCTCAGAACCAGAACATGAAGAACCCATGGATCCAGCAGCGGCTCCTGTCACCGGACCACAGCCGGGCTCAGCGGCTCTGACGGTGCGGAGCTGCGGCTCCACAGGTGGAGGTGGAGGTGGAGGTGGAGAACTTGACGTTCTTTATTTTCTACTCCAGCAGCAGCAGTGACAGCAGCAGCAGTGACAGCAGCAGCAGCAGAGGAGAACAGAGGTCTCACTCTGTTCTCTCCACCCCCTACAGGAGAGACAGGAACTACAACTGACAGGAAATATTAAAGGAATAACTTTGGTTGGAGACCGAAGAGCTGTCTGGACCTAGAGCGCCCCCTACACTACCATGAAGCAGGAAAAGGTCACTGAGATTTTATGAAAGTCACCGTCCACTGCTGCCTCATGTGGTCATTTTGTGTCCCTGACGTCCATCTGAATAAAGTATTTTAAAGAGGAAAATGATCGACCAATCGATGATCGATCAGTGGGAGGCAGCCGTGGACCAACACTGACAGACTGACAGAGTGACCACTGACAGACTGACAGAGTGACAGACTGACAGACTGACAGACTGACAGAGTGACAGAGTGACCACTGACAGAGTGACCCCTCTGTCTGATAAACGATCTTTGTCCGTATTTGTTACACCAGTCTGCTGCGCCACCCTGTGGTTAAAACTATCCCATCAGCCTTGTTAGTTTATTATTGATATTGTTATATAAATTATATCATTTTATAAATATCTGACTGGTTGGATTCACCTGCAGTTTTACACATTTATTTCATTTTAGATTAATGTCTAACTACCGTGGTTGGACTACGATCATGCTATCATGCTATCATGCTATCATGCTATCACACTGTTTCTGGCTGTTTCTAAAGATATCCTGTGACAATTTTTTAAAGTACTTAAAAGTTTAAATTACTTTTTTTATTTATTTCCTACAGAATTCTTGAAACAAACTCAGATTTTCTCTGCATAAAAATCTAACTTTCTTTTTTAAAGTCGGGAATATATCGATGTTCTTGCAATGATGTGGTTAAATTCTAAATTCTATCAAAAAAGTACCGTAGAATTCTATGATCGACCATCGAACATTCTTTCTTCTTAGTTTTTCATTAATTATTTTCATTTATTTAATTCGTATGTAGAGGCAACATCTTTGGTTAAAAATATACAAATAAACATAAACAAGAAATGTTTTTAAAGCACGTTAACGTAAAAAATGTTTTTTATGTCTCTGGTCCTTGAACGTAGCACGGAAATGCTGTGGTTTGATTGGAGAGAGTGAGCACATGTGGGCGTGGTCAGAAGAGCGGAAAACTGACACCACTCTTCTCCAAACTCGTGCTGCCAGTAAACTTCAGTCAGAGTCAGGGAGCAGGCGGAGGAGAGAAGAAGAAGAAGAAAAAGAAAAAGAAGAAGAAGAAGAAGAAGACGAAGAAGAGGAAGACGAAGAAGAAGAAGAAGGAGAAGGAGAAGAAGGAGAGGAAGAAGAAGAAGGAGAAGAAGACGAAGAAGAAGGAGAAGAAGAAGACGAAAGTGTCAGACGTAAACATGACAGTTTGACGGAATTAAACTTTAAATCGGAACTGGACCAAACCAGACAGAACTCCGACCAGAACCAGTGGAATATTTTTTGGAGAAACGATGGAGTCTGTCGTCAAATGGAGCTCACAACAAGTGGTGGACTGGATGAGAGGTGAGTAGGGGGCGCTGTTTCGTTCGCAGCTAACGGTTCTCTGGGCGTCGAGTAGTGATAATAAAGCCCACGTTTTATTTTAAAAACTGTGAATTAACTTTTCAACATGTTTGTATTTTATTCTCCTTAGTTCGAATCATCAAGTATTTCAGGTTATTAAAGAACAATTTCAAATGTTTCTGATTCACTTTAAATTAATTTAATTTGATTCTCTGGGAAGAAAAGTTCAACTTTATGGATAATATGAGGATCAATATAAATAAATCGATCTTTGAACAGTTTTAAATGTGTATTTTTACATTATAACCAGAAAACTAGTTGTTCATTTTTTCCCAGAATTCTCAGAACAGTAGAAAAAACGTTTTTTTTTTTAAAGAAACATGTTGTAGACGGTCCCTAAAGCTGCTGCCAACCCTGATGTTGGTCCACAGCTCTGTGTGTGTGTGTGTGTGTGTGTGTGTGTGTGTGTGTGTGACTCCAGCAGCACAGACAATACAGATGTGGCAACAACAGGAGCAGCTCCTCCCTGAGCCTCCCCTCCTGCTGTGACAAAGGTCAAAGGTCGACCAGGTCTCAGCTGTCACTAAAGCACATCTGTGGTTCCAGCAAAACTGTACTAGGGACAAACAAGTACGGGGTGTGTGTGATGAACAGTCCCTCAGGTTGACAGCCCCCCCCAGCGTTGGCGTCATCATTAACCTCTGACCTGAACTCATCTCAGCCCCTGGGAGGTGGTGCTAACTGTGGACCATGAGGCCCACATCGTGGCCCACATCGTGGCCCACATCGTGGACCGGTCAGAGAGGCTGGTCTTCCCACAGGACAGAAGGACTCAGCAGAGGTGTGATGGTTATTACTGTAGATTAGCATTAGCATTAGCATTAGCCGAGGGCAGACGTTCCAGGTCAGGTCAGGTCAGGTCAGCTGGTGTCAGCTGGTGTCAGCTGGTGTCGTTGACGTCACGTGTGACTCTGGTTCAGATCTGTGCCAGGACATGTGACTCTGGTTCAGATCTGTGCCAGGTGTCAGCGTGTTCACACAGGTCCACATACCAGGGTTTCTCCTCTGACAGGAGCTGACGCTCGGTGACATCTGCTGGCTGACACTGAAACACCTGAAATATGAATTCACCTCCTTCCTTTCTGCCTCGCTTTCTAACACCGACTCCCCGTCACACAGGAGTGACCACGGGTTGAACGACGTCTGTGTTTTAGGAGGTTTGAAAAGTAGCTCGTAAATAAAGTTTCTTACGGAGGCAGTGGAGCCAGACTGGTTCCAGGATCAGGGTGGAGGCTGTGAACAGAGAGTGAGGCGGTGACACTTCTGTTTGAACAAGAGTGGAGCAGCAGAGGAGCAGCTCCAAGAACCAATCTGGAACCACGGGTTTAGACTCTTTAGTGAAAGATCAGAGATTTTAGTTCAGACCAAAGTCAGTCACGTCGTGTCTTAACCCTGACTTTGACCCTTTGTCACTCGTCTTAATCTGGATCTGTTCCTGCTGGACTCACACTGACAGGATGCACTTGGACTTCAGGAACCAGCCAGACCTGGTCTCTGTAGCTTGGCTGCTGAAGGCGGAGTTGAGTGTGAAGTGGGAGGAGTCAGACCTGCTGTTGTCCAACAGGCAGAGTGAGAAGTTATTGAATTTGAAGAACAGATCGATGAGGCCAGTCTGTCCTGGTCCAGTCTGTCCTGGTCCAGTCTGTCCTGGTCCAGTCTGTCCTGGTCCAGTCTGTCCTGGTCCAGTCTGTCCTGGTCGGTCCAGTCTCTGTCCTGGTCCAGTCTGTCCTGGTCCAGTCTGTCCTGGTCCAGTCCTGTCAGGTGGGGTCATGGAAGCGTGCGACCGCTGCTGCCTCAGCGTTGGTCTTATCAGAGGAATGGACACAAGGGGGCGGCGTCAGTCACAGGAAATGGACCGCTTCCTTTCACCAAGGTCCACTTCCTGTCGTAACTCTGTTGAAGAGAAACTTTGATGAAGAGCCAGGGTTTTCAGGGACGGGTTACATCAGAGTCACGTGGTACCACAGGATCAGTACCACAGGATCGGTACCACAGGATCGGTATTCTGTTCTGTTGACTTTAGGAAATCCTTTTTCCTCTTCACCAGAGTTAGAGTTTGGCCTGACTGACCTGGGGGGGGGGCTCCTCTGACTGCTGACTGCTCCTCTGCTCCTTTCCCCTCCACCCTCTTCCTGTTGTGATGGAGTCAAGGGTAAATATGGTCTTTTGTTGGAACTGATGAAGATGATGATAATGGATTGGTCCAGTCCAGCCCATTCCAGCCCAGTCCAGTCCCGCCCAGTCCAGCCCAGTCCAGCCCAGCCCCGTCCAGTCCAGCCCAGGCCAGCCCAGTCCAGCCCAGTCAGTCCAGTCCACGTTCACTGTATTCTGTGATTGAACTGGAGCTGTGGCCAGTAGGAACCTCCTACTGATGAAGAGTAGGAGGAGGAGGAGGGGGGGGAGGGGGGGTATTAGCCTCTGCTCCTCTGCTCCTTTCCCCCCCACCCTCTTCCTGTTGGGATGGAGTCAAGGGTAAATATGGTCTTTTGTTGGAACTGATGAAGATGATGATAATGGATTGGTCCAGTCCAGTCCAGTCCTGTCCAGTCCGGCCCAGTCCAGTCCAGGCCAGCCCAGTCCAGCCCAGCCCCGTCCAGTCCAGCCCAGACCAGCCCCGTCCAGTCCAGCCCATTCCAGCCCAGTCCAGGCCAGCCCAGTCCAGCCCAGCCCCGTCCAGTCCAGCCCATTCCAGCCCAGTCCAGCCCAGTCAGTCCAGTCCACAGTCACTGTAGTCTGTAATTGAACTGGAGCTGTGACCAGTAGGAACCTCCTACTGATGAAGAGTAGGAGGAGGAGGAGTGACACCTTCACTGACACTGGGACATCACAGCTGTCCTCCTCCTCCTCCTCCCTCATGGTCTCCTCCTGTTGTTGTTGGGGGAGGAGCAGCAGGAGTGTCACCCCAGGCCATCTGTCCCCCCCTCCTCCCCCCCCCCCGCGCCCCTGCCTCCCCGGGGGGGGGGGGGGAGCAC